AAAAAAAACTTTAAATAACAATAATAATAATAATAATAATTTTCTTCTTTTTCAGGCATCAACTCCATGTCCTCCACACAGCCGCTGGCTAACATTGGATCCCCGGTCATCTCTGCCCCCAACACTCTGGCCACACAAGTCCCCGCAGCCACCGGGGCCCAGCCCTGAAACCACTTCCTCACCTGTGTTAACGTGTGCTCGTGGTCATGTCCTGGGTACCCAGGACCATGGCTCCCCTTTTTATGTTGGGAAAAAAAACAAACAAACAAAGAAGATGATTTAAAGAAAAAAATAAAATAAAATAAAAATTTGCTTTCCACGTTCAGTTCTATTTTGACACCTGGACTTTGACAGAAAATGCGATGCACCTGTCGGGTTCGATTAGAGAAATTAATTTGGGTGTGTTATTTGACAATGCCATTGTCTAGAAATTCTAATAAGATGTAGACATAAAGAGAATGGATAATAAAATTTATTTTGTATGTTCCAAATATACAGTCTTGCTTGAAACTGTTTTGACGGGGAATCCTGCTGTATTACACTGTGAACCTTTTACGTGACGTCACGGAAAAAAAAAAAACGAGAGGCGGGGTGCGCGGGGATTTGGCGTGTCCCGCCCCCCAACAGCGCTTGCCGGTTGCACACGCTGTAATGTGCAGGAGTTAGTGTTTTTGAAGTTGTTTAGATGCTATTCTCATTCTTCGATTGGACTTTTTTCTTTTGTAGATATTCTACAGTTACTGTCAGGTTGCATGCGCCCAATGCTGAGTTTTCACGGGGTCAGTAGATTTGCCAACTTTTATGTTACTTTTCACTTCTGTATGTGTATGTACGTGTCCATGTTTGTTTTTTATGAAGTCTCTTACACATGATTTTGATTACATAGACAATTTTGTAACGTTTTGTTTTATGTTGGGAGAAGTCATCACTTTACCGGGGGGGAGGGGACAACTTCAAAAATAAACAATTTAAACAGGGTTTTTCAGGCACCACCTGTTCTTGACTGCAACCTGATGATTGGTCGCGTCAACTACGAGCAAATGGATGTAAACTGAAGCAGTTTTAGGATCGTGTGTTTATGGTGTGTTTAACATGTAGCCTGAGGTATTTTGTTGCTGCAGTTCCTTTATCCTCCACTAGAAGTTGGGCTGTCGATGGTGTTTATTTAAAGTGAGACTTGAGAAGTTTTGAAGCACGTCAGTGGAAAGATGAACAATGAGTATCTTACCTGTTGTAGAGAGCTTTTTATCTGGGGAAAACACACTATATTTACGAGCTAACAGCTAATCTGAGTTGGACCAAGACCTAAGTGTTGCTGTCATTAAGAAATATATAAAATTAATGCAAAATTTACTATACAGTCTATGCAGTGGGTGACTATGGACCAGAAAGTGGCAGGTTCGATTCCCTGACATGCCCACGTCATGTCCTTGAGCAGAACACCCAACCCCCTGACTGCTCCACTGCTCTGCTTTGTTGTATGGGTCAGATGCAGAGCACAAATTTCATAATTGCATGAAACATGCGTTGTTGTGGGAAGGAAGGTAAGTTATTTTCTAAGTTTGGAAAAGGGAAAATGGTTTGAAATAAAACAGTTTCCAGATTATTTTGAACAACATTTTCTATGATAAATATATCAAGAAATAGTTCACGTATTTCACATTACCTGATAATAAAAGGTTAAGTTTAAGGTTTTAGATGCCAAAATATATATGTATGAGGCATCTCAAGATTTACAGGGTTTATAAACTGCTGTTTTCAGTTCGCAAAGCTGTCTTTAAAAATAGATCTGTTTTAATGCAGTGTTTCTTGAACAGTACTAAAAGCATTGGTGTTTAATATTATAGTGTATACTTTCACATCATGTCATTTTTAAGACTAGGTTTAATAAAATGGACCCTCTTCTGGTTAGCCTGGTTGAAGACTTCTACCTTTTCTTCATCTGTTTTATGTGTTTGTCACAATGAGGGTCATCAGGCTGGTACATGTCTATATAACTGCAGAATATAAACATGTTCCTTCAAAAGATCTGATTGAACAAGTTATAAAGAAATTAATGAGCATATGATGCTTGTTAAAGGTTCAAAATGAGTGCAAAGTTAAGTTTGACTTCCACACATTGTTCTTATGGKTTTTTTTTGTTTGTTTTTTTATCTTTTATAAAAGCTAAACACTATGAACCTATTGTTCTGGAAGCATTAAAAGAGGTTAAAATTGCAGACACGATTGATCCTGTTATTAGGCAAGAATGCATAAGATTGAGCAACAATTATGGTCTGTCACATCCCCCTGCTGTCCCACATTAACTGATCTGAGATAAGGAAGCCCCCTACTTAAAGAACTAACAAAATGCCCTTTTCTAGGATGTGCTTGTGCATCTTTTTAGATATATTTTAAAACTTTCCAGAGGTTATTTTATGACTTTTTGGGGTAGATTTTCCTCATTGATTACCATTTCATCATTCTTGTAACAGGGCCTAAACTGTGTTTTCAACAGCTCTACTGAACTGCCTGCAGGAATGATTGTGGTGCCATTTTTGTATTTTGCCTTGTAGATGTGGTCACTTTGTAGATTTTGGTTGCACTTTTTGTTGTCTCCAGGTGGCCACTGGAGTCTGTTGCAATTTTTTTTTTTTTGTGATGCGTTTACGTGTCTTTGTTTTCTTGCCACTTCATATCTTWTGCCTCTTTCAGTCATACTTTTTGTTTTTGTTGTTGTTTCTCACCGGTTTGTTTGTTTTGTGTATGCTTGACCGGTCTTGTCTTTCTTTCTTTCTTTCTTTCTTTCTTTCTTTCTTTCTTTCTTTCTTTCTTTCTTTCTTTCTTTCTTTCTTTCTTTCTTTCTTAATGGACTACAAATTGTTGGGTCTTTGTAGTAATTCAACTCGGAATTATGATGCGTTCTGGTGTTTTGTAAATGTCGGGAATTACAGTTACTCAAAACGTTGCGCTACACAAGCAACAATCAGTTTTTTGAATTTCGTTTTATTTAAACTACGCGACATTGACTTTAAATAGGCGTCATTTCAATTTACATACAATTCCATCAAATTGTGAAAGTCTAAACTAGTTTRCAAACATAGCAATAATGTCCGACAGTCTTGAACGTAGCGCAGTCATTTTTTTCGCAGGCGAGGCTGGTGCAGTCGCTCGCCTCGCGCCGCTTACCGCTGTTTTAGTAGAAAACTTATTCGTCCCGTTGTGAAAAAATGGGGAAAGTTGTTCTTATTTCAATCGCAGTAGCTTTACTGTCGGTGCTGCTTGGAGAAAGGCTTGTCAATATAAGGTAAAGTAAATTACAATTTGTTTTTCCGCGCCGTTTCGAGTTTGTAAACAAAGTTTTAATCTCGTGCTTTTATCAATAAAAGGAACATTTTTTGTGTGTTTGTGTTCTAATTCTGCAGCAACAGGCACCTCGCCTTCAGGGAGGTAGCTCAGAACCATTTACCCAACTGTGTTCCACTCAAAAAACTGGGTGAGCGCTGAAGCAGCGTCATTTTAAAGGAGATTGAAGAACATTTTTAATAACATTGTTTATCTCACAAGATCATGGGACCGAGGACATAACTGTCATGGAGAATGGACTTGCCTTTATCAGCACTGTGAGTGTTTTATTTGCAACGCAGCCAAAGCTAAGTCCCACCCTGCAGGTTAGACACACCTAAAATAGCAAACAGTTTCCAAATTCAATATATGTCMAACGTTTTAAGGGGCTCAAGTATCCTGGAGTTCCCTCCTCAGATGTGCCTGGAAGGATCTACACTGTGGACCTCAATGATCCTCTAATGAAACCAGTGGAGCTGAGGATGCCAAGAGGCTTCGACCTGGACTCATTCAATCCCCATGGCATCAGTTTATATATCGAGCCAAGTGGTAAATCCTAATCATTATAAAAGAAAAGCAAAGACGTACAATAAGGTTTTTGTCTGTTAGCAAAATATCTCAAGAACCCCTCAATGAATTTTAATACAAATATCAGGGGTTAATCATTGGATGTACATCTACAACTATTTAAATTTTGAAGTTAATCCAAGTTAAGTTGGCCGCCACAGCCAGCTGACCTTAGTAAACACAAAAATGGCAATTATTCAGTCAACTGGACAGACATTTTGCTAAAAATGCAGTGTGGTAGTAGCTGAGAGTCATTCTCAACACATACTTTGAATGCTGCTCATTGTGCCAGACCTTTGCCTAAAACTATAGCATTAACTGTTTATGTAGTCGACCTTAATTGTCTGTTAGCAAAACTTTTTATGAAACGCATAACAGATTTTAATGAAATTTACAGAGAATGGTGCGTACACCTACAACTGATAAAGTTTTTGAGTCAATCTAATTTAAGATGGCTGCCACAGCTAATTGACAGAAGTCAAAATAAAATACTAGAGTTTCATTCTTGCATGTTTACCTTAAACATACAAGATACTTGCGCTCTAAGTTTGGCTTTCTTCATGTTTTTCTTGCATTTCATCATTCCACAGATGACACAGTCTACCTGTTCGTCGTCAATCACCCTCAAGACAACAGCCAAGTTGAGCTTTTCAAATTTGTAGAGGACGACTTCTCCCTCTTCCATCTGAAAACCATCAAACACGAACTTCTGCACAGGTGAGTGATATTATTTATTTAGGTATGAGCACTGTCTCCAACTCCTCAGAAAAAAGATGTCCCTGTTGGCTGGCCTGAAAGCTTTTAGAAACTTCTAGATGATGTCATTGCCTGAATTGGATATTTGGACATTTGCCAGTAATTATGATCTATGCCAGTGTTTCCCAAAGTTGGGGTCGGGACCCAAAGTGGGGTCCCGAAACATCAAGGTGGGGTCCTGAAAAGATTTTCTGAATTAATTACAATTTTGCCTTAGTTGTTACAAAGGAGTGAGGTTAGTATTTAAAATGGATAAATGTAGTATAAAAATATTGTTGCTATGTCCATGTTTAGTTGACCTGATACAAATGTTTATCATCCAAAAATAGTTGGGGGCACAGGTTACTACTACTACTGCTACTGTTATTTTTTTTTTTTTGGGTCAAAAGC